TGTGTGTGTGTGTGTGTGTGTGTATATATATAATCATATATATATATAATCATTATATATATATATATAATCATTGCTCCATGCTGGAGTTCTCTCACTGTCTTAGTTGCTTTTCTGTCCTTGCAGAGACAAAATACCTGACACCCAAAATTAAGGAAGGAAAGGTTTATTTAGTTCACAGTTTGTGGAGGTTTCAGTCCATAATCAGCTGGGTCCAAGGACCCAGGGCAGGGGGCGGCAGGGGGCGGCAGGGGGTGGCAGTGTGGCATGGCACAGAGGTAACAGTCCAGGTCAGCCGAAGACAGCAAAAACAACAAGAGCAAACAAAGGGAAGCAAGCCTCTTTTCCTCCCTTATGTTGAATATGCCCACACCATCTCCATGCTCTTGCACAGGCTCAGGATGTTTACAGAATAAGGACCCTGGCTCCCTGCTGAGTTGCTTAAACTTCTAAACTTCTCAAATTGACACAATGAACAACATCCTAGAACAATAATGGCATGTCCTTTATCCCCCAGGATGCAGAGCTGCTGAGTCCAAGTCCCACATCTCCCCAAGATATAAGGCAAACTCTTAGCTGCAAGCTAAGTACAAATGCAAACAAAGTTAAACACTTCGAGTATTCAGTGGCACAAGATAAACATTTTTATCCCAAAAGTTACAAACGGGAATGTAAAGGTTTGGGTCCAAAGCAAGTCCAAAATCCAGCAGGGCAAACATTATGTCCTATAGTTCCATGTCCAGCATCTGAAACAATGTGTGGCACATTGTGAACTCCATAGAGCTTGCATGGCTCCACCCCTATGGCACTTCTGGTGATTACAGCTCCTATGGCTTCTCTTTTGGGCCCACATTGCTCCCTCCCTGCAGCTTTCCTTAGACAATCCATGTTCCTGGCTTTTCCAAACTTCTGGGGTCTCCACTACACCTTCGGCTTCACACTCACAGCTTCACATATTGCCCTCTCAGGGGTACGCTGCCTGTCTCCCAGGCCTTCTGAAATCAGGGTAGAAGCCACCAATCCCATAACTCTTGCATTCTGCATGCACCTAAAGCCAACACCATGTGGATGTCGCCAAAGTCTGCCACCCGAGCAATAACCAAGCTTCCCTCTCTCTTGGCTGTAGGAGTCAAGTGCCTGGATTGCTGGGCACTCTGAATCCAATTCTGAGGAACAGATTTTCTTATGCTGCCACAGTTCTGGAACCTGGTGCAGCTGCCGCCATTCTGGAACATGGTGCTGTGAAGCTTTCTCCTCAAAGCAGTCTTTCACTTTTGCAGTTTTGAGACTGCAAAGGGTGGAAACTTGCTGCTGCTTGTGATGCCCTCAGGCCATCTTTTCTATTCCCTTCCTTTTCAGCAGTCAAGATCTCCTCAGCTCTATCTTTGCAGTCCACAGCTTTACTGGAGCTTCTTTTCTGGTCAGACTCACAACATTTTACATCATCCTGCTGGGCTCTCTGCTCTTGATTCTCAACATAGA